AAAATTTTGGATACAACTGCCTCCAACGTGAGAGCAATAAGTTAATAAAATATTTTTTAAATTTATTCAACTTTATTTATAATTTCTATAAATTTTAAATTTATACAATTGGCTCTTAGCGTTTAAAATTTATGACCTTTTAAAGTTTGTAACCCCATCAATTTGAGGGGGTGTTTATATAGTCATAACTTTTAAAAGCTAAGAGTATTTTTAAAGTTAAAAGTATTAGTTTATGAAATTAATTAGTCTGTATTAGTTAATTAATCTATTAAATTTAAAATTTATAAATGAATATAATTTAAGTTGAAAAAAGTTAAAAAATTTAGGCCAAAACTGACCTCCAACATAAAAGCAACAAGTTGATAAAATATTTTTTTTTAAAAAATATTTTATCAATTTGTTGCTCTTATGTTGGAGGCAGTTGTGGCCAATATTGTAGGGCTTTTTTGTTCCCAGGCTTTAATCATCACAAATTTTTGCAAATCATCTTTATTTGATATAAGTATAAACATAAAAATGTTTGGAGTTACATGTCTGGAAGTTAGCTTGTATATATATATATATATATATATATATATATATATATATATATATATATATATATATATATATATATATATATATATATATATATATATATATATATAATTCTTTATATCTTGTGGTAACTGTTTGCAAATAATGCATAATGTACCAATACAATCAGCACTATGATCTAGCAGTACCTTGCAAATTTCATAAGATGTGTACCAATTATCAATATGCAAACAATAACCATTTCCAATTAAGTTATCTATTAAGTGTAATAATAATTTTAGTAGCTTGATATTCGTATTTCTCTAAATCAGGAACAATACTGTTGCTTGTTTCAAGTGTACAAAAAGCAATTCCAAATGTAAACAGATTCAGATTCACAGAGTATAAAAGATTTCATACCGAATCTTGAATTTTTGCTTGAAATGTATTGCTTTCAGCCTAAGTGACCTCTCAAAAACAGTAGTGGTTCATCTATGGATATATATTTATATGGTCCATACAGAGTTTTGAACTTGTTTACTATATAGTTATAGATTGGTTCAACTTTTACTTTTTTACTAAAATGTTTTGGCAATTTACTGTTATTAACAAAATGAAGAAACTTTTCAATAAGACAAAATCTTAGGACATTACTTTTCGTATGAATGGTGTGTCAAACAAAGAGTTTGTTAAAAAATACATTGCATTTGTTAATTCAACAAAATTCCACGATATCAAATAAAGGCTATGAACAGTCTGATATCGTTTCTGGCTAATGGTATCCATTTCTGAACTCTAAATCTACGTTTGAGTTCATTATTTTTACAAAATTCTGCTGTTACTTTGCTCTACAATAAGATATACAAACTCGTTGCCAACAAGCTTGTTAATTTTATTTTACAAAGCTTCAAATAGAGTAAGAGGGCTACTATCAACTAAAATACTTAACTAAAATTCGTCTTATAATTATCAGCATTAAACTAATTTGGTTTGCTGTCTTAAATATTTTCTCCGGTAATCCTACAGTTAAGCGGCCTAAAATAATTTTATTTTTGTGTGTTTTGCGCTTTCAACAGTGAAGGCTTTTTAAACAATAGAAATATTAATTGAAATAATAAAAGAAAAAAGACCGCTGCCCCCTGCACTCCCTTCCAGCAGCAAGCTATAAAGGCGAGTTTCCACTCATCCGTTTTTCTACGGGAACATGATTATTTTTCTGTTCCCTTTCCCTTTCCCGTAGAAAAACGGATGAGTGGAAACTCACCTTAAGATAGTCGATATATGTACTGAAGCCAATAAATACTCCATCCGTGACGAAAAGCGCAACACGCAAAAAAATAAAATTATTTTAAGTTATATATATATACATATATATATATATATATATATATATATATATATATATATATATATATATATATATATATATTTTTTTTTTTTTTTTTTTTTTTTTTTTTTTTTACAACACGAGTATCCGTATATATTTCAATAAAACAAAATTACATATTTTTACATATAAGTACAAAACGTACAATTAAACAATTTTTGTACCATTAAAATTTTTACAAGACAAAAGAAATTCAAAATTCTGTTTAGCGCATGCGCATTGAACAGTGTACAAAATAAGGTAACTATTTGTTGTTTATAATATAAAGTGCTGGCTATTAACTCATGCATTTAAAAAATATATGCAAGTCCGTCGTACCACAGGGCTACTACGGACTTGCTTGTGGAAATTGTTGAATATATATATATAAAATTATTCTTAAAAAATATTTTTCTTTGTTGTAAGGAAACTCGCAGAAGACTAAAATAGTCTTTTCATCGAGAACTTTTAAAACATAAAACAAACTTTAATGAACTAGTTCAACAAATACACATAAGTATTTTGGTATCTACTATATAGCAGAAGTAGTAGGGCTTTTTATTATTACTATTTTTCACAAATTGTTTAATACATTTCGATGAAGTTGGTTAAGTTAATTATGATATGTTTTAGTTTTTTTTTCAGAGCAATAAGGTTATCCATTTTATTAAGTTCCATATTTTGAAGTATTATTTTGTTATGTAAGTATGGGCCACGGTATATTAAAGAAAATCGCGAGAATTTTGTTTTTTTTAAAGGCAGGGGGAAGTTGCCTGTTCCTCGTGTGATATATTTGTTTGCGTTGATATGAAAAAAGCTATCAGTAAAGTATTTCGGAACAAGTCCGAGTTTGTATTTTAGCATGAATAAGATATTTTGGTAAATATTTATTTGATAGATATTTAATGCATTCAAATTTTTAAGTAAAGTGTCGGCATGAGTGAATTTATCTTTATTATAAATTAATCTTGATGCATGTTTCTGATGTAAGTAGAGTGAATTTAATTTAGTTTTATGGGTACTTCCCCATGCAATATTAGCGTATGTTAGGTAACTTTGAATATAAGAAAAGAAGAGAATTTTTAAGTTGTCTTGGGAAAGCATAGGTTTGGCTTTGTAGAGTACGCCGATACTTTTTGATATTTTTGTGTTTATTGTATTAATATGGGCTTTCCAATTAATATTCTGGTCAATAATTATTCCAAGAAACTTAGTTATTTCAGTTCTTTTGATGTTTATGTTATCAATTTTTAGTGAAGGTAGAGTGTCTGGTATAAAGTTTTTAAGACGGTTGGAGTGAAACAAGATATATTTTGTTTTTTCTGTATTCAAAGATAATTTATTAACTTTAAACCAGATGTTGAGGTTTTCGAGGTCAGTGTTCATAGATTCGTAAAGGTCGCTTATAGACGGCGATGAGTAAAATAAATTTGTATCATCAGCGAACATTATTGCATCAAGTTTTTTTAGGGCTTTTGGAAGATCGTTGATATATATTAGAAATAAAAGGGGACTTAGAATGGAACCTTGGGGGAACTCCGCATTTTAGTTATAGTAGGTCTGAATATTTATTATGATCTGTAACAACGCATTGTTTTCTGCTACTCAGGTAACTTTTGAACCAGTTAAGGGATATATTTTTTTAACACCATATCTTTCCATTTTTTTAAGTAAGATATTATGATTAACTGTGTCGAACGCTTTAGATAAATCTATAAAAGTCCCTAATACAAATTGCTTTTTATCAAAAGAATTACTCATGCTATTTACAAGATCTAAAATGGCATGTTCGGTTGAGTGTTTTGTTTGAAACCCGAATTGTTTTTTGTTTAAAAGGTTATTTTGAAGGAGATATTCGTATAACCTATTGTAAACTATTCTTTCAAGTATTTTAGAGAAAGTAGGCAGTATAGAGATCGGTCTGTAATTATTTAATAAAGATGTTTCGCCTGTTATATATATATATATATATATATATATATATATATATATATATATATATATATATATATATATATATATATATATATATATATATATATATATATATAAATCAATATATAGAGGGTTTCTCATTTCCCGTAAATTTAGCATTCCGGGATTCCCGGTGTGTAACTTATTTATCCCAGGATTTCCCAGCATAATTTTTAATATAATAACAAGCGGTTTCTGACACAAATTTATCTTAGTACACTAACCTATATTACTATTTAAAATAAAATATTGTTTAAAAAAAAATAAACAATCAAGTGATTTGTCACTTAATCGTGAACGAATTTTTCCCATAAATAGACCCGAAGGAAGAAAAAGCTCTTTCTGATTCAGTTGATGTCGGCTTGATGGTCATTACTGTTGAGTATACTCTTTCTCAACTTTCGCTACGCTTTCCAGTGGCCTCAAAAAGTTTGATTTTTTATGTGAGGTTTTTGCTAATGTTTTCTAGAGCTACTTTTTTTACTTGTTTGACATTGCAAATAGTCGCATCCAATTTTTGTTCAAGTGTCAAAATAATTTTGTCACATAAATTTGGAGCAACAGGTTGAGGTATTGACGGGTCAGAAACCATGCTTTCATTACCACGACTCACTTCAACTATTTCATTATTTGATAAACTAGTGCTAGCATCTTCTATGTACAACCTGGGTCAATAGGGTGTAGTGAAAAATTTTTTTTTCAAAATTGAAAATTTAAATATCATTTTCAGATGTCCATAGACATTTTAAGATATACTGTTAAAAATTTTTTTTCATAACTTCAAAATAAATTACCATCATGGGGTAAATGGGGGAGTTATTAACAATAAATAGTCATAACTTTTAAACACATCATATTTTTGTCAAAATTTAAAAACTGCTATTAAATTTTTATCTATTTCAAAACAATAGTTAAAAAAAAAAAAAGATTATCAGAGACATTTTAAATGAGGAGGGGCGGTGGGGGGGGGATTGAGTTTTAAGACTAAGTCTAGATCCTTATTTGCCACATATAGAGTGGGTATAATATATCAAAATTTTTGGCATAACCCATTCCAAAAATAGAAAAAAACTATACAAAGAGTAAAACTGCAAAATGAGCCCTTTATTGGTTATGGACCCCATTTAGTATAAATAAAAAAATATAAATTTTTGAAGATCCAATAAGTAAAGAATATATACACTCATATTAAAAATATGAAAATTATATAATCATCTGTTTTAGGTTCTTTTTGGTATTATTTTTAGGTAAAAGTTTATGGTGATGGCAGCCTGCTCGAATAAAACCATCTCTTGAATCGTGTCCATAGACAGCAGCACAAGCTCTTGTTGTTTGTTTAACAGCCCGCTCAATACTCTGTGTGTGGCATGGTATGGAATCAACAACCATGGGATCCACCTTAAAATCAACTATTGTCTCAGTAGAAAAACTACATGTTCGGCTCAAATCGGCTCACAATCGGCTCAAATACATTATGAGTCCAAGAACATAACTCAGTAAGATTCTTAGCATCTATGTTTAAAAAAGAAGAATGAGTCCTTTCTCGGACAGATGTTTCTCCTTTGTCAAAACCTCTTCTAATCTGCAGAATACGATCTACTGCAAAAATCCGTTCTTCCACTATAGAGCTACAAAGCAAAGTGGTTAGAACAGCTTCACTGTGAGAAAACCAGGCTCCTAATATGATATATTTTTCAACAATATCCCTAGTAACTTGGCTTTGCATTTTTACTAATCTTAAGGTTTCTAGCACATGTCTTGGACCCTCAATAAAAGACCATCTCACTTTTATATCAAACCACATTGGATAGTAAACACCAACAACATATTCAACTAAACAACTTAAATTGTTAAAGTTTTGCCCAGACAGACCATGAACTGATACCCAAATTCGCATCAGTCTATTTGCAGTTGTCAACCATCTGCTGTGATTAACAGGACCACACTCCATCTTTATAAGATCTATAGGTATGTTACCTGAACGTATAGCTAAAACCATTTTATAACCATAGAGCTGATCAGTTGAAAGATCATCAATCACATCTTTACTTAATTCAACTGGTCTTTTACCAATGGTTATTGTTGGAAATGCCTGTGCTACTGGAAGTAGTGTAGCACAATTTAATAATTTACCCACAACTCCGCTGAACCCATTACTGGAAGTTGTTTTACCATCTAGTTCCTCAATAAGATGCCTAAGCGGAAGCTCATTAGTATGCAGCATACATATAATCCATGTTAATTTTTTATTCAAAAGATCCTCTATTCTTCTTATAGCCCCACCTAATCTTCCAGTGTTAGTAGCTGTAGAGTCAGCTCCAATATACTGTAAGTTAATATCAAATTTTCTACACCAATCTGCTATAGGTTTAGCTATCATTAATGCAGGTTTTTCGCCCACGCCAGGCTTAAGAGGAGAGAAATGGAATACATATTTTCCACCTGGTTCACTAGTGACAGTGTAGAAGTCCATTTTTATTGTTTTAGAATAATACTTTAATGTTGTTTTATCTTGATTATTAATAAGAGTTAAATTCTTTCTACTGTCAAAAAATAATGCTTTTATTTTTTCTGACTGATACAACTGTAAATCTTCTTTCTGGACTTTTTCCATTACTTTTTTCGTTTCCCTGTGAATTTTATGGTGGTCAATAATCAATTTATCATTTGTTTTATTAACAATGCCAAGATCTACAAGAACTGCAGAAGAAATAGCAGCAGCTTCTCTCTAACTTGTTCCGTATATTAAAACTGTTTGAGCAAGAAGAGGAAAGTGATTTGTATTGATGACAGATTCCTTTATCCCGTCATCAATTTCAGTGTCAACAAACTGGTTAGAAGATACATTCGCTTTCTCAATGACATCTACCTCTATTTCTTCATTAAAAAACTTGTAATTATTTAACTCTACTTTCTTCTCTAATTTTTTGAAATTAAAGGTTTTTCTTTTCTTTTGCATTGCTTCGCTAGTCGAGTGTATTCTTTTTTATCTATACAATGTATTTGGTAAACACTTTTCATTCCGATTTTCAATCTCTGAGCTTTGATAAACTTCAGCTCTATTTTAGGAATTTTTAAATTGGATGGACAATTACAGGTTGGAGAAATAGCAGAATGAGAACATTTAGGGTCAGAACAAGTTGGATCTTCCTTGCATATAATAATGTGCTTGCAACGAAGAATATCAAACAATACATCAATTTCATTATATAACTTATTCTTTTGAGAACTTTTCACTCTTCCCCAAACAGTTTGAGTAACTCTTTTCCACTCTTTTTCAATTCTCTGAACTATATAGTGATTAGGTTGAATTTGAATATTGATATTTACTTTTTTATACTGTGCAACAATCTAAATAAGAAATAAAAAATATTATTTAAAATAGCAAAATATAATAATGAAACAGTAGAAAAAAAAATATATATTATACAACAATTTTATTAAAATATTAGACTTTGCTAACTTTACAAGATGATTTTTTGGCAGCTTCGTAAACAATCTCTTTTAAAACATACTGAAGGTTAGTGTCTAAGGACTCCATTTCTAACAACATTAGTTGTAAAACATTTCTGAGGGTTGGTAATTCAGAGGGTAACAAATCAGCACCAAGACCAATGAATTCTTTAACTTTTTTGCTGCCTGGGCAAGAATTACTACGCACCCTTTTTATACTATTCATAATATTTATTAATCTATAATAATTATATATTTATTATAGATTAATAAATTATATATATATATATATATATATATATATATATATATATATATATATATATATATATATATATATATATATATATGTATATATATATATATATATATATATATATATATATATATATATATATATATATATATATATATATATATATATATATATATATATATATATATATATATATATATATATATATATATGTTATAGATCCTACAAATTTTTTAAAAGAACTTAAATATAATATAACTAATTGTTAGTTATACTATATATAAGTTATTGAAAAAATGTATAGGGTATGTGCAGGAAAGTATATTTGGCTAATATATTTATACTTATCATTAAACAAATTCTTGGTTTGCAAAATTTTTCAAATGAATATTTTGGTATAAAATATAGAAAAAAGTATAGAAATTCAATTTAAAAACAAAAAAGTAAACTTTAGATTATTTTTGATTCTTTAAATCATAAACATAAACAAAAATACATTGAAAAATTACAAAATTTCAGTAATTATCCTAAAAGTTATTAATTTTTTCTCTGAACTTTTTTAAAATTCTTCTTTAAATAACTAAATAACTCTTTAAACTTTGCACAACAAAATCAAGAAAACGCATAATATAATTTTAAAATGTGAATAAAAAATAATTTTACAGACCATTAAAAGTTAAAGCTAAAGGTTTTTGTTTTGCTATAAAAATATTTAACATAATTTTTATAATAATATATTTTATACAAACAAAATAAAATTTATTGATAAAATAAAATTTATTTAGTAGTTAAAAAATATGTGTATTAATTTAATTTATATGTCTGTTTTTTGTTTTTTATACGATGTTTCCGTTAATTCTGTTTTCGACCAAAAATAGTAACTATTTAATTTGATCATTATAAAATATTTAAAACTTCATTTTGGTAATTTATTTTAAAGTTGTGAAAAAAAAAATTGCATAGTAAACCTTAATATGTCTATGGACATCTGAAAATAACATTTAAATTTTAAATTTCGAAAAAAAAGCTTTTTCACAACACCCTACTGGGTGTAGTGAAAAAAACTTTTTATCGGCGTAAAATGCTACCGGCTGTAAATTTTATCGGCGTAAATGATTTGTTTCAATTAGGGTTGTTCACGAAAGCCAAAGTTGAATTTTCGATTAAAAAAAAAGTTTTCGAAACTCTATTTTCGTTTCGGTAAATTCGAAATAATTTTAAAGTAATTAACTTTGCGTCGAAACGATTTTTTACTTTCGAAATTATAAAATTTGCTTCGAAATAATTTTGCGATTACGAAATTCTGAAAATATTATCGAAATAACTTTTTACTTTCGAAATTGTAAAATTTGCTTCGAAATATTTTTGCGATTTCGAAATTCTGAAAATATTGTCGAAATAACTTTTTACTTTCGAAAACGTAAAATTTGCTTCGAAATATATTTGCGATTTCAAAAATCGGAAAATATTACCGAAAAAATTTTTTACCTTCGAAATTGTAAAATTTGCTTCGAACTATTTTTGTAATATCGAAATTCTGAAAATATTACCGAAAAAAATTTTTTTCTTTTGAATTTCTTCGAAATATTTTTGTTATTTCGAAATATTTTTGTTATTTCGAAAAGTATTACACAATATACAAATATTACTATTAAATTCTAAAATTTGCTTATATTTATTTTATTACTGAAATTATAAAAAGTTTTATTAAAATGTTTTTATAAATAATTAAATTTTAAAAAATAACATAAAATAATACTTAAAATTTTTGGTTTTACGGCACAGTGGAGGCAGAGAAAAGGGTTTAACTACCTCCCACTATTTTATAGAAGAATCTGCAATTATTTTAAAAATAACTCAGGGGTCGTTCGCAAATCACCTCACATATTTAGACCTAGCGGGGTTTCGGATTTTATGACACTCTGTGACTTTTTAATTAGGGGGGGGAGGACACATTTAGGGGCTTTTTTTCAAATTTTTGAGGGTCTTTTACCAAATATGGGGAGCTTTTTTATTTTTAGTAACAGGTTTTTTAAATTTTGGGGCCTTGGTTTTTGGCTCAAAGTTCTTGATTGGTGTTGCAAATATAACAATAACATTTATCAACTAAAAGTAAACTTTCTTAAGGAATTTGTTTATCTTTATACTAAGTTATTGTTATTAGTTACAGCTCATTGATATTCCATGGACATCTGCTGCGCCGGACAAACAGTACCCTCTCCTTCACTGCTCTCGCCTGATTAGATTATGCTTCATGACTTTTTACTTTTTTAAAATTATTTTTAGGAATGATATTTACCCTCACCAAAAGCTTGAATAGCCTTTTTGATAGCTTGAATAGCGTTAAAATAAATAAAAAGTTTTTTTTTGCCTGTCGTTTTGATTACATAAAAATTTCTTATGAAAATATTTTTTTTATTTCGAAAACACAATAATTAAAAATCAAATTCTAATCTAAATTTGAATAGCGTAAATTTGAAAGAAAAGTTGCGTAACTTTAGACACACAGTCTGTAAAAAATTTTATTTTTAATATCAGCAAATTTTTAAAAATAAAGTAGAAGGCCAGCCTGAAAAAATTAGCAAAAACTAATTGTTTTTCGAATTTTTCTCTAAAAATCTAATAAAGATTATCTGGTTAAACAAGAAATAAAGAATTTTGACACTCACTTCTTAGAATGCATAGTTCACAGCACGCACGTAAGTCATTATTATTCCTCAACGGCAATTCCCTTGAGGCCTTAAACGCATGGCATGAAATCATTGTTGCAATGTAAACGGCTAATTACTCTCTAGTGGTTATTTAGAGATTTACAACGGTTTCAAATCGATTTATGCCTTTGCGATTTTTGTGTTACATAACTCTAAAAAAAATGTAACTTTATATGGAAGTTATAACAATCTCATTAATATCTCGGTAACGTTAGTGAAGAAACATGTGATACAAATTTATTTTAACATAAGTTACTAATTTGTTAATATTTATTACATACGAACAATTAAAAAACTACTCGATTTTTAGTTTGAATAAACAATGTTAAAAACAAATAAATCCGTTATTAAGAAAGGAATAAGAAAACGAAGCTTCGTTTGGACATATTTTGAAATGGACCAAAAGAATCAAACAAAATGCAGCATATGTTATAAGATTTTACCTTACAACAGTTCGACCAGTTCAATGCAATCCCATTTATCAATTGATCATTGCATTAATTCTAAAATATCTAAAAAATCAACAACTTTATTCAACGATGACGATATATCCGATATTGAGAGCGGTAATGAGAATGGTTTTGAAGAGACTGGTCATAAAAAATTAAACAAGTTATTGGTGAATTTTATCGTTGGTACCGATCAGCCGATTTCGATAGTACGTCATACAGATTTTGTAAACTTAGTTAGTGAGTTAAACAAAAGCTATTAAATGCCATGCATAAATACGGTGAGCAAGAAATTAATTCCATCAATTACGAACAATCTTAAATCAATTTTAATGCTAGAATTGAAGGAATGTCATTTCATTACAATTACTTGTGATAGTTGGACATCATTGGGTAAAAATAGCTACCTCGGTGTGACTTGTGATTTTATGGACGAAAATATGACTTTAGTTGACCGAAACCTGGATCTTAAGTTTATGTCTGAAATGAAAACAGCTGAATATTTATTTAATAAGTTAAACGAAATCTTCAGTGAATGGTCAATCAATAATAAGATTTTTGCACTAATTACTGACTCAGATGCAAATATTTTCTCTGCAGTAAATAAATTTGATGATAATGTTCTTAAGATTCCGTGTGCTGGTTATTGTTTGAATCTCGTGGTTAATGATCTTCTAAAATTTAAAAATGGGTCAAAGCGTTACGAAGTAAAAGATTACGACGGTAATGGAAAATTAATTAATAGAGAAACTACAGAAAGTGAAGTTAAAGAAATTGAAAAAATTAACGAAGGCAAATTAAAAATCGCCAAGGTAATTTCATCCTGCAGGCACATTGTTGGTTCATTAAAGCATTCAGAAATGTTACAAAAAAAGTTAAAAGAAGTTCAAGAAACACTTCGTTATGAAACTAAAATAAAGTTAGTACAGGATATAGCTATTCGCTGGAATAGCCAATTTGATATGATTGAATCTATATTAACAAATAAAACTGCATTGGATATGATAAGCATCGAATTTCCAAATATAAAAGACTATCTTCCCACTGCAACTGAATTTAAGGTGCTGGAGGATTTGTGTGATTTGTGCATTTCATAAAATGTTTATAAAAACATTTTATGAAATGCATCTAAAAGAATCCGAAGAAATCGATATAATAATTGAAACAAATTGTTTAAATAACACTTTGAACTCGTCAAACAGCTCAGCTGACAATACCATAAAAACATTTCAGCAATTGTCAACGCCACCTATTGCAAATAATATTACTTTAGTTAACAACAAAAGACAAAAGTCAATCAACTTAATTGAACTAGTAACAGATAAATCTTGTTGTAATTTAATTGAGAGCAATGATAAACTTGAAAAAGAAATAAATGATTACAGTCTGCAATACTTTCAGAGCTTCGAAAATAGTGCCATTGAATTTTTCCAAGCTAATCAAAAATTGTTCCCGGTTTTGACACAAATTGTACGGATAATATTTTCAGTTCCAGCGACATCCGTGCCATCAGAATGCTTATTTAGTTCAACCGGTTTAATAGATGCAGAGCTACGGAACAGGCTCGCGCCGAGCTTATAGAAGCAGTTAGTTTTTATTAAAGAAAACAAGTAATCAAAAACATTTCTTTATTAAATTAAATTTTAGTAAAAGTGTATTTTATAAATCTTAGTAATTCAAAGCACTTGTGTTCTTCTTTTTTTTATCTGATGAACTTTTTTACAAACAGCTTAATTAATGACAATATGTTTTCTGTTATATTCTTTTCAATTCTGGAAAAAACACGAATATCCAATCATTGAGCTGCCATCATGGCA